ATTGTGAGTTTATTGAATCCTAGGATATTATTGGTAGTTTGTTTTTTCATTACTAATTCAATATCATTACATGTTCCTGGCATATTCAGGGTTTTTCTCCTTGGTTCAGTTTTTATAATTCATATTTATCTAACAATCTATTTATTTCTTCTGGATTCTTCAATTTACTTAACAACAGGATTCCAAAGTAGTTAATACTCCAGGATTTCAGCAGTGTCCATTTTGATTTTGCCTTTTTCATTTCTAAATGCATAATTGATTTAGGTCTTTTCTTTCATTTTTCATTAAGGTTAGCTAAGTGTTTGCCTATTTTTTTACTCTTTCAAAGAACCAGAATTTTGATTCATTGAATTGCAATATATTTTATTGTATTGCTTTTATAGTCTCAATTTCGTTATTTTCTGTTCTGACTATTGTATTTCCTTCCTTGTACTATCTTTGGGTTTGGATTTTTCTTGTTTTTCTAGGACCCTGCCATGCATCATTAAGTTATTTATTGGGCTTACTTAGTTATTCTGATGTGGGCATTCACTGCTATAAAGTTCTCCCTTAGGACTCCTTTCACTGTGTCCCACAGTTTCTGTTGTATTGTGTTGAAACTATCATTTGATTCTAGGAACTGTCTAACTTCTTCCTTGATTTCTTCTAAACCGTTGGTTAACCGCAAGTGTATTCTCTAATTTCGATGTGTTTGCACAATTACTGAGGTTTCTTTGGCAAACTGTTTTACGCACTATGATATGATAATATGCATGGGATAAGTTCAGTTATTTTGCATTTATTTACACAGTCTTTATGGGCTAATATGTGGTCTCCTTTAAAGAAAGTTCCGTGTGCTACTGAGAATGTACATTCTGTTACTGAGTGAAACACTCTAGATATCTATTATGTCCATATGTTTGACAGTTTGGTTCAAATCTGAAATTCCTTTGTTAATAGTTTGTCTAGCTGATTTGTCCATTTGTGATAGTGTGGTTTTGTAGTCCCACAGTATGATTCTGTTTAAATTTATCTGACCTTTTATCTTCAATAATTTTTGTTTTATGAAGTTAGGTGTGCCAATATACAGAACATAATACTCGTCCCATTGAATGGTTCACTTAACCATTTAGTAATTGCCATGCAGTAATCTTTTCCTTTTCTTACCAGTTTTGACTTCAAGTCCACTTTGTCTGAAAATAGGATAACTACTGCTGCTTACTTTGGGGTTCCCATTGCGTGCAGAGTTTTCCATCCTATGATTGTTAATCTATGAATTCATTTTTGGATAAAGTATATTTCTCATGTACCGCTTATTGTTGGGTTTGGTTGTTTTATCCACTTTGTCAGTCTGTGTCTTTTGATTGGGGAATTGAGACCATTCACACTGACAGTTGTTAATGAAAGGTATTTACTTATTCTGGTCATTGCATTATTTTGCCAATGCTGATTCCACTTTTTCTCACTTCCACTTACCTGTTTGCTTTGTTTGGTGTATTCATTCCATTAGACCTTTTGGCATTGTTGGTTTCATTATCTCTAGGAGATCCTTGAGAATTGTCTGAAGTGCTGTTTTGGTGGTCATGATTTTTTTTTTATTTTATTTAAGGAGAAATAGAAAAAAAAAACAGAAAAAGAGTACAGGTTATACAAAATTTCAGAAAAAATAAACAATAGGAAATCACTAGTTAATATATTACATATTGTCATCTTAGAAATAGTTGTTCAAGTTACAAAATTAAACCATATAAACTGGACATTCAAACAGTGAGACTGCAAACAGTTCTGTTCAATGATCCAACAAAACTCAGTAATATGGTTATCTATCTTATACACTTAAATATACATGCAGTTATATCCTTTAGAGCACAATCTTTTCCTCTCTTTTGCACAATGACAATTACACATTTTTTATTTTATTACTCCCACAGTTCTTATCACTTTTTTTGAAGAGATTAAAACCAAATATGACATAACAGAACAGAGTCAGTCAAATCAAAAGGATGGACATACTACATAATGTAAAAACATAATACAAGGTGATCAACAATGGTTACCATACTGCCTCTTGCTATGTTAAAAAGAATTGCCTATATCATCAATTATAATAAAATTGAACAGTAAAGAATAAAACCAAAACATTGGAGACATTATAGGACTTCAAAAGAAGATAAAAGTCAATCAGAATGGGCGTCATAATGGATCTTATTGTCTTCACAGTTGTTGCCTATACTTTCGAACTTGGTACTATCAAGCAAAACAAAATAGAGGAAAATCAGTCAAAACAAGATGGTGAGAGCAATACAGGGTTTCAAATCAAGTTAATAGGAAATCAAAGTGGGTTACTATAATATATCCTCCTATTTTTATTTATTTTCCCTTAATTAAAAAGATAAAAATAAAAAAGTAAATAATTAAAAAAGGAGATTGAGATATAAGAGGGCATAACAACAAAACATAACCATTTAAGCAAAATAGTGTTTCACCACAAGATATCCCAACATAAAGTAGTTACCATAGTGTCTCTTTCCTTGAAATCTTTGAGTATAACTTCGTATACTGTAGCACCAAATATATCAAGACGATGTAAAACCATTCAAGAGAATGACGGTATTACAGGGTATTTACTACCAGCTATCAGAAAATAAACAATGGTTTCTGTATAATCTCCTTGTCTATAAAAGTTTTTGTTTATATTATCACATATAATAAAACCCAATAAGATACTACCTGTTAAGACCAATGGAGACAGAAGAACAAAAGCTTGATGGGACTTCAAAGCAAGATGATACTAAATCAGCACTAGCTATTATGATGTCTTGTTTTCTACAAAATAGCTGTTCCTACCATTCAACTTTCTCTGCCTCATTTCTGTTGAGCTCTTTTTCTGTCATTAGTTGTCAGTTTGTATTCTTCATTTTCCTTTCTGCTCCATTCATTGTGGCCTCTCTGCCACTGTTTCTGAAATCCTGGTATTTTTCTTTTTGAGAATATCCTGCGGTATTCTCTGTAGAGTTGAATTGGTGGTTGCAAATTCCCCTAGTTTCTCTTTATCCTGGAAGCACCTTGTTTTTCCATCAGTTTCTAGGGACAGTTGTGCAAGATATATCAATCTTGGCTGGAGGTTATTATCTTTCAAAGCTTGAATTATGTCCCCCCACGCTCTTCATGATTTGATGGTTTGTGCTGAGAAGTCTGATGTAATTTTGATGGGTGTTCCCTCGTAAGTGATCTGTTTCTTGTCTCTGATGGCTTTTAATATTCTGTTCTTATATTAGATTTCTAGAATTTTGATTATTATATGCCTGGGTGTAGCTCTATTTGGGGTGTAGGTGGCTGGGCTCCTGTATGCTTCATACATCTGAGTATCTTTACCTTTTGCTAAATTAGGGAAATTCTCCTGGATTATTTCTCTGAATAGCTTTTGTAGTTCATTTGTTTGTGTCCCTACTTCTTCTTTTATGTTCTTAATTCTTAAGTTATATATCCTCTTATCATCTTCTAGCCTTGGTATTACTGCTGTTTTTTTTTTCTTTTTATTTTTAAGAAGTTTTTCATTTCATGCTCCCACATTACAAATCTGCCCTCCAGGTCAGATAATCTATCCTTAGTTTCTTGCAAGATGTTATGCCAGCTTTCGATAGAGTTTTTAGTTTCCTAGTAATCTCTTTGAAACTGCTTCATGTATTCTATGCTTTCTCTATTTTCTCCATCAAAAAATTCTCCCCTTTTTTGTTCTTCCATTCCACATCTGTTTTTTCTTGGGTGGTGCTTAGCATTTCTCTAACTATTCTAACTTATATCTTGCTTTATTTCATTAAATACTTCACTTTTGAATTCGTCTATGAGACGGAGATATCTCTTTATGTCTATTGGTGCCATGTCTGATATTGCATGTTTTCTGTCCTCATTCTCCTTTGCATTTACCTTTCCTGGATCAGTGTTCTCAGGATTGGGGACTGAGTACCCTTTCTTGTTGCTCCCTCTTCCCATACTTTTTGTTCCTTCCATACAACATATATAGGAGTCCCAGTTTTTTTCTTTGTCGGTTACAGTTTGTTTGAATCCACGACTAAGTGTTCCCACCCACTGCAGTGTACTAGGGAGGCACAGACCTGGGCAGCCTCTGCTGGGCCCGCCCCTCCAGGTCAACCTACTGAAGGCACCACTGGTAGGGTACACTGCTAGGTCCTGGGACCTGGTTTGGTTTAGCCTACTGGGTCTTAGTCAGTGGCGTTACCCAGGCCAAGCGCTCCACACCAATCCTGCTTGAGAGGGGAATATGCGACTAAAGTCACTGCAGCATCCTATTTGCTCTAGTCCACCCAGTCCCAGAATGTCCTCTGTTGGAGCTCCTAGTCTATGGAAGGGTCCCCATTCTCTCACTCAATGCAGGTCGATGCGGGGCTTCCCGCCAGTCCCGCTCTCAATTCTGTTTGCTGATTCCTGCTCTCAGAGCTTTCGTGTCTCTCTCCATGCTGTGCTGATTTCAGACACAGCAGCAGTGGCAGGAAATTCAAATCACGATTTCCAGAGGTGCCAGGTTCCAGCTTTGGAGCTGAGATTTTATCTGTTCTGGTTATAGCACTGGGATTTCATTTCCAGATGGTCTCTCTCAGCTTATTTGAATCCTGGGACAGCAGGGTATATCTTCCCTTGCTTAGGACTCCTCACACCACACCACTCCTGAATTCTAAGCTGGGTATCTCAGAGAGCCTCTGTAGCTGCTGTTATCTATCCGCCATGTTCTCCCAGAAGTCGGTCATGAATTTTTTAAGGGTGCTCCTTATCAATGAAAGACCTTACCTCTCCATTAATTGTGAAAGACACTTTTACAGCACTTACAGTCTGAGTTGGAAGTTATTTCTTTTTAGAGCTTTAAACACTTCATTCTAAGCTCTCCTGGCCTTTAAAATTTGTGTTGAGAAGTGTGCCGTAATTCTAATGGGTTTACCTTTATAAGTGATTTGTTGCTTTTCTGTAACAGCTTTTTTAAAAATTTTATTTAAAAGGAAAAAGAGAAAAAACAAAACAAAACAAAGCGGTGTAAGGGTACAAGTAATACAGAACTACAAAAAAAAAACAGTAAGAAATCACCAGTTAATAGATTACATATTATCATCTTAGAGATAGTTGCTCAAATCACAGTATCAAAACATACAAAGTGGACATTCAAACAGTGAGACTGCAAACAGTTGTGTTCAATGATCCAACCAAAAACATTAATATGGTCAGCTATTTAACACCCCTAAACACACTTGCTGTTGTATCCTTTAGAGCTCTTTTTTCCCTCTTTTTTACAACAAAATTTACACATTTTGGGTTTTATTACTCCTTAGTTCTTATTACTTTTGGGGGGGGACAGAATAAAGTCAAATATGGCAAAACAAAGCTGTCAGTCAAAACCAAGGATAGACATAGCACATGATGTAAAACAGAGTACAAGGTTATCAACAATGGTTATCAACAATGTCTATTGTTTCCTTAAAAAGAATTGTCTATCTCATTAGATATTATAAAGTTGAACAAAACAGTAGAGAACAAGACCAATAAAAGTTAGGCATTGTAAACATTACAGGACTTTGACAGAAGTCCTTCGACAGAAGTACATGCTACCCACGGAAGCAGCCCGCAGCAGGATGACAAGCCCTCTACTTCCAAAGGTCCTCTGGTGAGTTCTTCAAAAGGGAAGGCCCTTTCCCGGAGTGCTAAGCATTTGCAGCTTACACCTATTCACCTCATGGATGAGGCCTCCTCACTGTCTCTAGTCAAGATTAATCCTTTTACTCCTGAGTCCTATAAGAAATTATTCCTTCAATCCATGGGCAAGAGGAAAACCCCAGGAGATCCTGAGAAAACTGATGAAGAGAAAGGCCAAATACAAGGGCTTCCTGCTAAGAAAAGTGTTCTATGAGAAACTAACATGGCTTCCTGCTATGAAAAAGAATTCTTGGAGCTCGAAAAAATTGGAGTTGGGGAATTTGGTATCGTCTACAAGTGTGTTAAGAGGCTGGATGGATGTATTTATGCAATAAAGCGCTCTACAAAACCTCTGGGAGTGTTATCAAACGAAAATGCGCACTTGCGTGAAGTTTATGCTCATGCAATGCTTGGGCAGCACCCCCATGTAGTACGCTATTACTCCTCCTGGGCAGAAGATGACCATGTGATCATTCAGAATGAGTACTGCAATGGTGGAAGCCTGCAAGCTGCTATATCTGAAAACACGAAGTCTGGTAATCATTTCCAAGAGCCGAAACTCAAAGACATCCTTCTGCAAATTTCCTTGCAGCTTAAGTACATCCAGAGCTCTGGCCTGGTGCACCTGGACATCAAGCCTAGCATCATCTTTATTTGTCATAACACATGAAGTGATTGTCCTGGAGTCCCAGAAGAGGCTGAAAATGAAGCTGACTGGTTTCTCTCTGCCAGTGTAATATATAAAATTGGTGACCTGGGTCATGTGACGTCAATAAGAAAACCCCAAGTGAAAGAAGGAGATATTCGCTTCCTAGCTGATGAGATTTTTCAAGAGAATTATCAACACCTTCCCAAAAGTGATATATTTGCCCTGGGATTAACAATTGCACTGGCAGTTGGAGCCAATACTTTACCCAGTTGTGGTGAAGACTGGCACTGGATCCATAAGGGTAACTTTCCGGATGTCCCTCAGAAGCTCACAGAAGATTTTCACAATTTTCTCAAGAATATGATCCACCCTGATCCAAAAGAGAGACCTTCTGCAGCAGCCCTAGCCAAAAGTCAAGTTCTCCGGCCCTCCCAGAGCACCACAGAAGAGCTCCAGCGGCAGCTCATCTTGGAAAAGTCTAAGATAGCCGCACCGGAAAGGGAACTGAGAAAAATCCAGCAGGCCAGGTCCTCCCAGGGAGACCTCCACCCTGACAATCCTGAGGTCTCTGCGGGCCAAACAGAATCAAGAAGTCCAAAACACCCGGCGAGAAGAAAGAGAGTGAAGTCTTCAAGTTTTATTGATGACCAATCTTCCCCATAAGAACTCACTTCCCACCAGCCAACTTTATACTATAAACCCTCCAGAAAGATATTGATCACCAACTTTCCTCTTTCAAAATGGAAAAACTAACCAATTTAAATGCCCAAAGATTTCAAAAGTCATCTTAATGTAGCATTTAGAGTCAAGATTACAAAGCTACTAAAGCTTTTTATTCACAATGGTTTAAGGTACAATAATTGGTAGCCATTTTTCTTCCCAATTGTTATATTCCTAATGCTACCTATCAACAACTTACCTACTTCTTACATTTTCTAATTAATGAGAATACATGGGTCGCTTAAAGAAAAGAACAGGCTTTGACTTGGTCTGTGGACTAAAAATGCTGTTGCTAATTTCTCACCAAAGATCTCCGAAAGAAAAAGTTTGGCTTGAGTTGAAGTAAGACCCTACAAGAAAATGTGTGTGGATTTAGACAGTGCTTCCCATGTTATATGATGCTATTCCTAAAAAAAGAATTTCTAGCCCCTCTGAGTAACAGTTTTTGTAATATATTTTGTGGATTTTGTATTTAGTAAATTAATAGCTCTACCACTATGTGAGGTGAGGACTACAAATTGCATGGATATGCCTGAGCTGGTTACTAACTTGTGAAACAAAAACACTGCAAATAGAGAGCTCAAGATGCAGTTGTTCTGTCTCAGTCAAGTTGTCTTAACCCTCTTGTGGCTATTGATTGATTTTGACTTTCTGGATATCACTTCTTTCTCTTGATTTTGCAGAATCTGGCCTTATTTCCTGTGATTTTAAGGATATTTTTAATCCAAATCTTTCTCTGTGTACATTTTAAAGCACAAAGCTATTTGTAAATAAAGGTTTTTATCTTGTCCAAAAAAAAAGAAAAAAAAATACTGAAAATCTTTTGCACAGCAAGAGAAGTCACCAACATAGTGAAGAGACAATGCACAAACGTGGGAGAAAATGTCTGCCAGCTATTCCTCAAAGGATTACTATCGAGAACAGATAAAGAACTAAAAAAAAAAAAAATCAGTAATACCAGATTACAGATCCAATCCAAAAATGAGCATCTGAGATGAATGCACACTTCTCAGATGAAGAACTACACATAGAAAATAAATACATGAAAAAATGTTCAACATCAGTGGCCATTCAAGAGATGCAAATTAAAACATTGAGATTTCATCCACCCCAGAAAAAATGGCTGGTATCATGAAATCAACCAAGGGACTGGGAATTTAGCTCAGCTGCATAAGCACCTGCCTGGCAAGTGCAAGATCATTAGTTCGATCCCAAGTACCCCCCCCAAAAAAGAAAGAAAGAAAGAAAGAAATCAGTAACAAATGCTGGAGAGAGGCTAGACATGGTGATGCACTCCTGTAATCCCAGCACTCAGGAAACTGAGGCAGGAGGATGGCTGCAATTTTGAGACCAACCTGGGCTATAAAGTGAACCCAAGGCCAGCCTAAATTGCATAATGAAACCTTGTCTCAAAAAGACCCAAAAAAAAAGAATTAGAATTTTATAGGAGCTGGGGATTTAGCTCAGTGGTATATAAGCGTGATCCCTGTTACAAAAAAAAAAAAAAACACTGGAGGGGCTATGGAGAAGAAGGAACCCTACTCCACTGTAGGTGAGAATGTAGACTGGTGTAACCACTATGAAAATCAACGTGGAGATTCCTCAAAAATTGAGGGTTGGAGGTCCCATGCAACCCAGATATTCCTCTTCTGGGTGGCTTCCCAAAATAATTAAAATCATACCACAACAATATATGTGCACCCATGTTTACATCACCAGTTTATAATAGCCAGGTCTTGGAAACAACTTAAAATCCCAGTGACTGAGGAATGGATAAAAAAGATGTGGTATTTTTATACAATGGAGTACTAATCAGCCATAAAAAAAGAAAAAACCTGCATACTTTTATAGGTAAATAGATGTACCTGGGGAACATATTCATTAGTGAAATAAATAAGACATGTGTAAACATCATATTGTTTCACTAGTGTGATAAGCTGAAATAAAAATCATGCATATATGTGTGTATGTGTATATATAGAATAGTTAAGATAGTTATTCTACTGATTTCTCAGAGTTCATTGAAGAGAAAGATTTGTACTGGTATTGTTTGGACCATTGAATGCAGATGTCTTGTGCTTTGGGTGAATGATTTGGGGAGGACAATGTGCAATGTATGTACCATTGGTGCCCCCTGATTGATATGCTTTGAAATTTTGTTGTAGTCTTCTTCTTCTTCTTCTTCTTCTTCTTCTTCTTCTTCTTCTTCTTCTTCTTCTTCTTCTGATTCTGCCTCTGCCTCTGCCTCTGCCTCTGCCTCTGCCTCTTTCTCTTCTTGTTCCTCTTCTTTTCCTCCTCCTTCTTCTTCTTTTGAATAAAATAGATTTGAAGAAAAATGTTCATCAATGGTAAAAATGGATAGATTGTGATACATTCATATAATAGAATATGAGCAGTATCAATAAAAACAAAAAACTACTGCCACACACAAAATGATCACTGAATCTCACACACATATTTCTGAGTGAAACAGACAGATAGACCCAAGAGTACTTTTTGTGTGATTCCATTTATATGACATTAAAGAACAGGCAAAACTCATATATATGAGGTTGAAATGGATTTTTAAAATAGAGTACAATCTTTTTTGCAGTTCCTACCATCAAACAGAACTTATTCCCTACCCTGAGAATATAATATGGTCCTGTGACTTTGTTTGACCAGTAGAATGCAGCAGAAATGATATACAACTTCAGAGCACTCTGTTGCTGCCCCTCTTGCTGTTCTGAGATATTTATGTAAAGCATCCCAGTCTACCCTCTAAAGGGAAGACCTATATGGAGAAAAGGCAAGCAGCCTTTTAGCCAGCACCACCAACAGACATATACCCAGACCATGCAGGCCAAGTCAAGCTGTCAAATGACTGCAGCCACATGAATGACCCCAGATGTTGCCAGCATAATTGCCCAGCTGAGCTGAACCTAAACTTCTGACCCCTTTAATTATAAATGAATGTTATTTTCTATCACCAAATGTGGAAAGACCTTAATAGATAACCAATATGATGATAGAAGACAGACTAGTAGTTTCTCTAGCATATGGATATTGACTCAGGAGAAACATATGAAATTCTTGTGAAGGGCTAGTTATACTTCATATCTTGATCTGAGTTGTGTTTATATAAGTGTATATTTACAAACTAGACAGGCATAATTTAGGTAAAAATTTATCAAGCTTGGACTTAAAATTTAGTCAGATTTTATATGTTGCAGTCCAATAATCCATTTTAAAGTTTGTTTTGGTTCTTCCTGAGTGTGGTAGGAAAAATAATGGCTCCAAATGACGTCCTAGTACTTGGAATTTACAACCATATTAGAATATATGGTGTGGGGATTAATAATGCACATAAAATTAAAGTTACCAATCAGTAGATATGGTGCTTAGCTTGGCTTATCCATTCAGACTCAACATCCTTACAAGTGGAAAGAAGCAGAAGAATACAGTCAGAAAGAGATGTGACAATAAACCAAGAAATACCACATTACTGGCCTTGAGAGAAGGAGAACACAAGATGAATTATTCAGATGATCTTGGGAAGCTGAAAAGCACAAATATATTATCTTCCAGAGATGCCCCTGTCAACACCTTGACTTTGGCTAATGAGAATCATTTCAAAGTTCTGAACTACAGAATTACAAGATAATAAATTTACATTGTTTTAAGACATTATATTTGTAGTATTTTATTACAGTAGCGATAGGAAAAAACTTCTGGGTCATCATTGTAAGGAAACTGACCTCAATGCATCTTATTACAGTTTATTGACCAGCAATTTCAGTTCCATGCCCAATTACCTCTCCAGGATTTCAACCAGCTCTAGATGAGCCAGGGCCAGAACTATTCTTTTGTGCACAGACTTCAAAACCAAGATGACAACCCAGGGCACTCTTCAAAGGTGTAAATTTGTGCAGTCTTACCTTTGGTTTCATGTATTACTATTGCTGTCTTGAACTCTTAATGATTTTTTAATGAATGACTCCATGTTTTCATCTTGTACTGGGTACCACAAAGTACATGGTTGGTCCTATCATCATCCCCTTTCTGAGCACCAGGGCTAGCCCACCAGACAGATCTCTCCTTGAATTTTTGTTAACATTATTTCATAGGCCCAAGGATCCTTTCCTGATATCAGACTTGGAAAAGAGCCACCTTCACTATCTTGACCAATTCCCCAAACTCCAAATTTTAAGACAAAGGAGTTGAAGTGTCTTCCACAGACTTCTCACAGGATTGTTCCATTTTCTCTAAAGATCCTGCAGAACTGACTGGTGAACTTCTGCACACCTATGATGGTCTCTCAAGCACTACTCTCAGATGCCTTTCTGATTACCTGGGTAGAGTGTAACTAGAACCTCTTTTATCTGAAGTGGATAAAAGTAACCATCACTGGTTAGACATCCCATTACATGTAGAATAATAAGTATTTACAAGTATTATGAGAAAAGGAAGCTATGTGATCAAGAAACTTTCTCAAACTGAGTTTTTAAAATTTCATAATGATTTCCTGGATTACTGTTCAACTTAATATTCTAAAGAACATGTGACCCTCCACAGTAGAGTAGAATAAGAACTTTACAAACATATTTGGAAGCCCAGAATGGTGGCACTCTGGGAGGTTAAAGCGGGAAGATCATAAGTTTGCTCCCAGGCTGGACAATTTAGCAAGACCCTTTCTCAAAATAAAATATAAAAAGGGCTGGAGATGTAGCTCATTGTAAAGGCCCTGGGTTCAATTCCTAATATGGTAATTTTTTAAAAGTTGGTAAGGTATTCCTTTTTTCCTAGGGATCTCACAGGACTAATTCTCCATGGACAAGTGTTTGAAGAATGGTTTCCTGAAGAAAGCCCTTACTAAGCTAGCCAATTCATTATTTTGTCTCCTTTTCTATTGCAACATATTTCATAAATGTATTTCTATTTAAATTCAGCACACATGTAAGTAAGAAGATTTTCTTTGTCTAATTCTTCCTTTCTCTTCCTCTCTGCTCAATCTATATAGGACAGCCACCTAGGGCATATTTTCAAATCGACACTTATTGAGTGAATTTTGAGAATGATGATAGCTAACATTTATCAAGCACTCACTCTGTGATAGCAAGCACTATTGAAGTATTTATCATGTATAATCTTATTTAATGCCATTAAAGAATACTCTGCATTTGTAATTCAAGGAACCTCAATTTATGTGGATAAATCTCAATGGACACAGTTGAGGGGAAACAGCATATTTTATAGGGATTCCAAGGAATTATGGAATCCCTTTTCTGTATATGAAACAAACAAGGTTTTTTTTTCCCTAAACCAATAGCAAACTACTGTCAGCGTAATTGTAAACCTATTGAGGATAAGTTGATACACCTGGCACTTGTGCCATTCAATTATATATCAATGTCACTGATGATACTACTGTTCAAGATGACTAAGATTTGTTCTGGAAACTGGCAGCTGATTACTCAAGTGAGCTCTAAAGTAAAAACTGGGGAAAGTATGCATTCAACCTCTGCAGTTATTCTCAGGTCCAAAAATATTTTTGTGAACACATGTAGAGGATGTTTTTTGTTTGTTTGTTTGTTTGTTTGGGTTTTTTTTTTTTTTTTGGCTTTTTCCTTTTTTTATCGGTACCGGGGATCGAACTCACGACTGCCTGCTTTATAAGGCAGGCGCTTATGCTGCTGAGCTAAATCCCCAGCCCCTATGTAGAGGATGTTTAACTGATGGAATATTGGACATGAAAATGAAACCTCACTTTTTCCTTTTAGTATGACAAAAATAAAGCCAATGTGATAGCTGTTTTTCCCACAACGATGACTTTGGAACCCAAATTTCTTCAGGCTTCTCAGGCTTTGGATAACATAGGACTTTTATTAAATACAATCAACAACAAAATTTGTCAGTTTTTGCATCCAATATGTGAAAATCTTAGCTTCTTTAAGACTCCTTAAGCCAAGCATGGTGGCTCATGACTGTAATCCCAGGAGGCTGAGGCAGGAGGAGCTCTGTGAGATCGAGGCCAGCCTGGGCTACAAAGTGAGTTCAAAGCCATACTGAACTGCATAATGAAACCCTGTGTCA